AACAAGACACTTGGCCAAAGACACCCACCACGGTTTCCAAAAACATCATAAAATATTTCGAGTGTTTCTAGCAGCAGCTCTGCAGGTGTTTTGCCGGAGAGAAGGACAGATGGACAGCTCTCTCGTGTGGCTTACACCTCTGTTGCTCCTGTGTTTTAATTTTAGCTTTCTCTTGCCTTTTGCCGGGGGCTGAGAGTGCCACTAGTTCATTATTTTTTTCCCGTGGAAACACCCAGACGAATATAGCCAAGCCTGAGTTTAAATTACAGGCAGGAAAAAAAAAAAACAGGAGGCTGCTCCTGTTTAATAATAGCCACCGTACGGATATTACTCTCAGGGCTTTGTCATGCAACAGCTTGTTTTATTAAATTCTTCACGCCCTGTGCTGGCTTGTTGCAGCGGAGCGGTGCTGGCATGACAGTCGTCTTGGAGACGAGCATCCTCTTGGGGTCCATGCTTGTAAGGTCAAGTGCTGCTCCAAGGATGCTTTTTTGGCAGCCGGCATCTCATCACCAAGCCTGGACCACTGTGGGTAAGTCCAACCTGCTTTTGGTTGTGAGTTATCACGGAATTGTTTGAGTCAGAAGGCACATTTAAAGGCCATCAGTGCAACCCCCTGAAATAAACAGAGACACCCACAGCACGTCAGGTGCTCAGAGCCTCCAGCCTGACCTTGGTGTCTGCAGGGATGGGGCATCACTGCCTCTCTGGGCGACCTGTGCCACTGCCTCACTGCCCTTAGTGTAAAAAAAACTTATTATATCCAGTCTAAATCTCCCCTCTTGTAGTTTGAATCCATTTTCCCTTCTCCTGTCACAACAGATCCTGCTAAAGAGTCTGTCCCCTTCTTTCCTACAGCCCCTCTTTATGTTACGTGTGGGTGTGAGTCCTCCTGCTCATCCAGAGGTACCAAAAATGATGTTTTTGAGCCCAACACAAGTTGTAAACATCAGGAACACAGGGAGAGCAGAGACTTGGCTAACTGGGATGGAGAAGAAGGATAAAACCTCACGCTGTTGAGAAGGCTGGAAGGAAAAGCAAAGGGCTACAACTGAGCTGATGCTCGGTTCCAAGGGATGGGATCTCCATAGAGGCACTTATGGAATGAGAAGTGGCTGGTCTGAGCCAAAAAGCATTAAGGAGAGGTTATTAAGGGAGAAGGGCTTAGGCTGCTTATGGCACAGAGAGCTGTGGGTGCCCCATCCCTGCAGGCATTCAAAGCCATGAATGGGGCTCTGGGCAGCCTGATCTGGTGGGTGACAACCATCCCATGGCAGGAGGATTGGAACTAGATGATCTTTAAAGTCTCCTCTGGCCTAAGCCATTCTCTCATTCTACAGCTGTTAAGAGCTGATGCTGAATAGAATCACCACCACATCTTCATATCACAGCTTTTCATTTGAGAAACTTCAAGGTGTTTTGGAAACAGCAAAGTAAGGGCAGCTTTGTCATCCTGCTCAGAGCCACGTCCTTCATCTCAAAGATGGGGAGGAAAATCTGGCTGTGTACATGCAGGGGGGCTGGGGTTGGATGTTTGGATGTGGGATGCTGGAGACCCATCAATATCTCAGATAGGAAGCATTGAGAAAACATGTTTAATTTCCCATCAGATCTGACTGTAATGTATTTCTCCCCTTTGCTTCCCCCCTTGTTGCTGCCAGCCACCAGCAGGGCTGGGAGCTGCTCCTGCCCCACAGCTCTGCTGTAAAGCAGGACTTTCCCTATGGAGGGGAAATCCCCAAACACGTCGAAGCTCTCACTTGCACGGGAGGGGGAAAAAAATTGCAACAAACAAACAGAGCCCAGGTGATTTATTCCATGGATTTCACGCTGCACAAAGCACCTGGAAAATAGCTGTGTGGGCTTTCCATATGGGTTGCTATTATTTTCCAGGGTACAGAAAACAGATTGTTGGAAGAACTCCCTGTTCTGCGGCTTGTGCTATTTTTTTTTTCCTCTTTTCTTTCTTTTTTTTTCTTTTTTTAAGCCGAGCAGCAGTCAGTGCTGTTTCCTCTCTGCTGAGCGTTGTTTAGAGATTGCTCCTAGTGCAACCCAGAGAGGGGGAAAGCTCAGAGCCTTTAAGTCAAGGCTGCAATCTGCTTATTCCTCTTGATATTAAGACTCACCTACAGCATGGGAACTGAAAAACAATGATAGTAGTAGTAATAATAATATCAATAATAATAATAATGTAGATTTTTTTCCTCTATGGGGAAGGGCTGAGGTTTGCTGCAAATGAAAGCGTTGCTCTTTGGGATTCTCAGAGGTATTTTGGACAAGCCTATGGGCACTTGGCTGATTTGTGATGCTATCCTTTGGGTTTTCACCCACTGCCTTTGGTTCAACCCGACCCCTGAGCTTGGTTATATTACCTGTGCTGTGTTCTCATAACTGCCTGTCCCATGGCATTCATGTGAGGAATCATAAAATCATAGAATGGTTGGGTTGGGAGGGACCATAAAGCCCATCCAGCTTCAACCCCTGCCTTGGGCTGGATGCCTCCCACCAGATCAAAGCCAGGGCCCCATCCTTGGCCTTGGGCACCCACAGGGATGGGCCACTGACAACTTCCCCGTTATTTGTTCATATAACAAAATGAAGATGCTGGTACTGACAATGCTCACGTGTCACGTTTCCATCCTTGTCCTCAGTGAAATGAGGACATAGTGCAATAGTTAGTGGTTAGATGGAGATCAGGAGCTTGGAGCCACACCTCCAGCCTACTCCAGGGCTCTGATGCTGCTGTGTGCAAGGGTTTCTGTCTCTGGAGGGGATTTATAGCCCCCTGAGTTCCATTTTGGGGCTTTTCCCAGTAAATGAGGAGATGGGCAAAATAGGGTGAGAGCATGGATATGAGAAAAAGGAGGTGGGCACCACAGTGAAACTCCAACCTCATTCAAGTTTGTTTCAACCTAGCTTTCCCTAAACTTCCCCCATAATTAATTTTCCTTTCAATCACTCTGGCTTGGTTGCATTCAAAGGGGATGGAGAGGAGAACGCTGCATCCCTGGACTCAAAATGGTGCTCAAAGCACATGGGTCTGGTTTGGAGCTAAGATGCCTCTGGCTAACCCTAGCCCTAACCTTAAATCTAACCCTAACCCTTAACCCTAACCCCCAGCCCTTCTGCACACAACGAGGAGCAGACCTGTGCATTGCACAGCATCCCATGCCAAAACCCTACAGAGGAACGTGCCAAGGGTGACTTTTGGGGAGGTGGGGTGGAGGTTGGCAGCCACACTCCCCAGCCCTCAGATGGCACATTGAAATTCAAGTCGCGCCACTCCAGCGCCGGATCTCTTTGTTGCTTCTTCAAATGACTAATTGTCACTTTTTTTTTTTTCTTTTTAATAAGGCAGCATCACGGGGAGGTGCGGGAGTTTTGTAATAACGAGGGGAAAGGAGGGGATAGAAGAAGAAAAGGAAGAAAAAAGGGGGAAAAATGAGGGAAAAAAAGAGAAAATGGGAAAAAAAAAAAAATAATAGAGGGGAAAGGGAAAGCAGCGGGGATAGTAAATCTCATCCTCCTTTCTGCACACCAGCTGCTGTGCTGCTCCACCACAGCAGCCAAGACACTTCATCATCCTCAGGGGTTTGCTGGGAGCGGTGCAGAGCTTGGGTAAACAGGGCGATTCCTGCTACGTTTGCTTTTTTTTTTTTTTGCTTTTTTTTTCCCCCCCAAAAAATGGCTCTTAAGGGCTGGAGGTGGGCTGTTCCCAGCTGCTTGGTGCATTTTAATGCACATCAGGGTGGTGTCCCTGTTTGTTCCCTATGGGGCGGTCCAGCTCTCTGCCTATTGTGGGGTTATGCTCCAGTTTGGGATGCTGCTGCTTGCTCGTAAAACCCTTCTCTCTTGCGTTGCTTCTTGCCCATCCCCAAAATGGGTCAAATGGGATGGGAATTGGTTTGATGAATGTGGTTTGATGCAGCTGAAAGATATGCTGCAGCCCAGGGAGTGGTGAGCCCCAGTCTGAGCTCTTGTCTCTACCCTTCCCATCACAGGATGGGGTGAAGGTGTGGCCAGGAGGGATCCCAGGAGAATAAACATGATTCCCTCCTTACACTAGGGGAGGGAGCAACAATGCTGCTGGATAAATCCAGCCTCATGCAGCCAGGCACTCATTTTGCGTCCTAAAAACCTAGGGTCGGCTGCATCCCCAGCACAGGAAGACCTCCCTTGGCTTTATTTGTCTCAGTGCATCCCTCACTGCTAACTGCTGCCAGCTTGGTGCCAGCTGGCCTGTTGACGATGCCAATAAAAGTCAAATGGAGAGATAAAATTGCACCTGTCATAATTGGGCTTGATTTAGAAGGGGTTGGAGTGAGCTGGAAGGTTCAGGGATGCGCCAAATTCCTTCAATACGTCGTACCAAAGTGCTGTGGGCTGTTATCCTGAGCCTGGAGGCTATGTTGGCGATGCAAACCCCAAAACTGCATCTGTAAGGAGGCACGGAAATGGCGACAGCCAGTTTGGTATCCAGGCCTTGATGCTCTGTTCTTAAATCTCAGTACAGTGAATATTAATGGAAAGATAGGTAGCTGTGTTGTGAGCCCTGCTAGGAGAATGCACAACAGTATGAGGATCCAAAATCTCAAGGTTTGCCCTCAAAGTGAGGTTTAATTCCCATGTCAGACTGGCCCTCAAATTGAGGTTTAATTCCCATGTCAGACTGAACCTCAAGGCAGCATTTCTTTCTCTCTACCTGCTCTTATGTCCCCTGCTGCCAAACCAAATCACAGTGGTAGGAGCTACCCAGTAATCCTACCAACCCCAAAAATAGGTCTTAAAGGAGAATTCCCAGTACCAGCACTGGGTAAGGGTTGGTGGCCATTGGGACGCCTGGGGAGACTTGCCAAGCTGCCAAAATATTTGGACACCCAAATGCTAGTGTTCAAACGCATTTCTCCATCAGGATTCTGACTTCATCCTCCTACTGCATATTTCTGCACCATGTCCTTGCTTTCTGTCCTTGCATCGTGACGCGTACCGGTGCGGCTTCGTGCCCCATCGGAGATGGTTATCAGCACAATGATTTAATGCCAAGCAATGCAAGCAGGCAGTGTAATGTCAGTGCTATCTCTGCTCTCACCCCTCCAGCACTTTCATATCCTGCCGTGGTAACGCAAAGGATTAAAGCAAAGATGGGAGTGCTGATGGAAGGGAGTGGTGTTGATCTCATCTCGTGTGCTGGTCCCACACTCCGCACCCATTACAATGAAAGATCTTGTTCTGCAAGCACCACGGCTGAAATAAAGGTATGTTGGTATTTTTTTTACAGCCGTTTCCCATACACCACATGGTTTTAGAGCAGGCGACCTCCAGAGGTCGCTTCCAACCTTGAATTTTGTTGGAGAAATCTTTTTGCCTATAGTAAAATAGGGGCAGGAGCAGCCTCTAGAAGTCTTCAGTGCCTTTTTTTCTAGCTTAGGAAACTTCTAGGAATTAAGGGAAAATGAAAAACTGGAATGATCTACGGGTAAGCAACAATACCTTTAGGAACCAAGGATGGATGCTGGATGTGCTTTAGATGGCAATCTGACGAGGGGTCTCGCAAAGCAGCATCACCTGCAGTTTTCCTGAAGGAATCCCATCACCACATCATCTCCGCATGAGGAGCATCCCTGTGGGCTCTCCCATTGCCAGAACCTGACCTTGCCCAAGCGACGCTTAATTAATCCCTAACGAGCGTCTGAAGCATCTGTAGGATGTTGCTGGCATGGGCAGCTCTTAATTTACTGCCAGGATGGTTCCAGCACCGCTTCATCCAGCAACGGGGTGAATCCAACAAATAATTGTCCAAAGATTAGCGCTGCGTAATGGGGCAACAACAGCAGACGCCGCGCATCATTAGGGCTTACCAGGGAGTCAGCAGAGCTAAAGCAAACAAATGCCAAGCAAAATCCACAGCAGATGGAGCTTTTAGTTGGGCATGGATTGACTTAAGGGCAGCGTGTCAACGACGCTGGAGCACGGCACCCTTCTGGTGATGGGAAACCCATAAAAGAGCTCGGGAAACACCAGTGAAGGAGGTTTCTGAGCTGTACCCTACATAAATATAATTTACAGTGCAGCAGAGCGTAAATACACAGCGTGAGCCCTATGCTGGGTGTAGCAGCAGCTGGAGCCGCGCTCCTGTGCTCTGCAGAAACATATATAGGACGTCGCCAACTTTCAGCAATTTATTCCACCTATGCCTTTTTTATTTGTCACTATGGTAACTACAAAGTAAAGATCAAAGCAGCGTGCCAGCAGCAGGAAAAGGTATTATTTTTCCCCTCCTTTGCAAAAATAACTTAAGCGTGTTTTTATTTCTTTCCCATTCAGAGGAATTACTTGTTTGTAGCTTGGTGGAGAGGGAGAAGTCCTTGTCTCTGCTTGAGAAATTGCACTGGGAGCTCAAATGAGCCAAATTTCCTTCAATTTAGAGACAATGCAAAGTGATGGATGGGTGACCGTCATGGTGCTACAGCAGGTCCTGGGGCTGAAGGAGTGAAGATGCATCCATGTGGCATGGGGGGAAATGACTCAGGAGGAATCATCTGGTTGGTTTACCAGGAAAACCATTTGGAAATGGTTTCCCCATTAGAAAATGCTGATTTAAATTAAAAAAAAAACACGAGTTTTGGGGGACCCTCGCATGCATCATGGTTGCAGCTCTGGGGGCTGGCCTCGCTCCCAGATGGACCACAGCTGCTAATCACCATCCTTGGGCAAATCGTGAGGATGGCAGGATGGCATGTCCTGCTGGCACATCTCAGTCCCCGTAACACAGATCTGATGTGAGAAAGCCCTTTTCCTTCCCCAAAATCCAGCTCCCTCTTCCCACAGCAGTCCCTTGGCTGAGCTACCATAGTCCTTCTGGTGGCCCTCAGTATTTCCAGATCCACCCATTTTCTGTCCATCAGCAATGTTAAGAGCTTGAAAATCTTGCTTAAAAAAAAAAAAAAAATACAAATGTCTCCAAAATCAGGTGAAACTTCTTGTGTGTTTTGGGATAGAGATTTCTGATCCCATCCGGCTCACGTTAAGATGCTCATCCTAAGCTTCATCCTAACTAAAGGGAGCATTCCCATCCCCTAGAGCTGATGGTCCGATGCAGTTGATCAGCACTGAATGGATGCAGTGGATTACTGAAGGCCAAAGTGTATGCCAAAGATTTGCATATATGCAAATGCTTCCCATTATGTGATTCACACATAAAGGTCAAGCATGGCTTTGTGTGAAACGTGGGAGCTGTAACGAGGAGAAACCCAGAAATCAGCAGGCAGATGAAGCAGTGGGAAGAGAAGGACAGTGCATTGGAAAGGAGTTCAGATCTGGAAAGGGAATCCTCCAAAATGCTGATAATGCTCCTGGCTGTTCCATGGGGATGGATTTGGGTTTCCCATCCGCACCCAATTTGAATGGGTTTGGGTTCCCTGTCCATGCTCAATGGGAATGGGCCTGGAGTCCCCACACCCATGGCTCCAGACTGAATGCTTTATGTGGAGGAAAGAGCCAGAAACCTCCCACATCTTGAGCTCTGCTTCATTTTTGCTTGTTTCTCCCTGCTAATCATGGAAACGGGGCACAAGCCCTGGACATGCATGGAAGGACCCTCTCATGCAGCTGTACCTACAGGTTCTTCACCAGAGGTGTTCAGGATCCAGAAGTCGCCTTTCTCTGATTACATGCTTAATTATTTTAATGATTAATAATTGCACTCTTCCCCGATGGTTGCAGAAATAGAAAGGCAGGTGCAAGAAGGATGAGGTGCTCACTGGTGTGCCTGTGCAACGGGCTCTGTCCAGCCATCACCACTCATCTACAGCTGAATTTCTTCTTAGTGTTCCTTGGTAATGAACACATGTGGAGGACAGAGCACACAAAATTCAGTGGAGATAAAAAAGCAATGAAAAATGGTTGGTTTTTTTTTTTTTTTAATATATACAAGTGTGTTTAGAAGCACAGAATTTGATGCTTCTTCGTGTATTTGCAATGCAAGCAGTCAACTCCTCCTCTATGGGCTATAAAGCATCTTTTAAGTATACAGGAATCAAATGCAATGTGTTTGTTGTTTCTGCAGATGAGACAAGACAAACCACTATGCAATCAATTAGGATGCACGTCCTGAGGAAAAAAAAGGGACTGTTCTTTGGCTGTCTGGGATTTTGAGGACAATCAGCTGCCACCTGGGATTAAAAAGGGAATTTAATCCATTTAGGAGTGGGGTTTTGTGATGGAGTGGTTCCTTGAGGGGACATCCCCTCAGGGTAGGTTTACTGGCCCCTCAACATGGATGCTGGCCCCATCCCAAAGCAGGAGCTGAGCCTCTCAGGCTGTCCCCAGTGATATGGGGATGTGCAAAGCTGGACAAAGAAGAGGTTGTGTCCTGCCACGTTTTGGATGGAATGAAAACACAGAATCATAGAATCGTTAAGGTGGGAAAGGCCACTAAGATCATCCAGTCCAACTATCAGCCCATGCCTGTGACCACTCTAGATCATGTCCCTTAGTGCCACATCTACCCCTTTTCTTGAACACCTCCACCTTTCTTGACCCCACCACCTCCATGGGCAACCTCTTCCAATGCATTACCATTCTTTAAGAGAAGAAATTTTTCCTAATATCCAGCCTGAACCTCCCTGAGACAACTTAAAGTCATTACCTCTCATCCAGCAGATCACCTCTTGTCCTGTCATCCTACTGTAACCCCCTCCTTTCTCTGAAGCTGTTTTGGAAGCAGGATGCATAGGTGCAAGTGCTGGCAATGCCTCAAATAGGTTGGGTCCATTGGCTACACTGACCATAGATGCTGTGTGCAGGGTAAGGAGGGACCATGGACATCCCTCCCAGAGGGAGAGCCTGTGGGACCCTCAGTCCTTGCACACTATCCAGCCATATTTTACTGTTTTTCATATCTATCCATCTGTTTAAGGAACAGTGGGTTTTCTCCTTTTTGTGCTATTACAGCTCCACAATTTTTTCTGTGTTGCTTTTTCTTCCTTTCCCTTCCTACAGTCTATTTATCTAATCCATTTATCTGTCTGTCTTCTGTTTATCTACCTGGAATATCTTTCAATATATATCTCTGTCTTTTCTTTTCTGCATTATCTCTCTTGCCCTTACGCATCACCATAAATCTAACCATAAAATCTCTCCCTCTCTCTCTGTTGTCTTTGAATAAAATTTGGTTTTGAATTGTTTCTCTACATGTTGCACGCCACGACTTTTTCTAACCTTGGCCACCGCTCTCCTTGCACAGAATATCTTAAGAAAACATGCAGTTATCAGGGATATTTGCAGTTATGGAATGCATTTAAAAATTCACGACTTATGGATACAATGTGAAGCTGGGGAGCATCCCCATGGTGGGTTGTGATGGAGTGACATTGGTGACAAGGAGGTCTATGAGATGTAAATAGGGTCCTCCTGGTCTTGGTGTGCCTTGATTAATTTTGTTCTTGGCATGTCTGCTGAGCCTTCATCCCTGCTGCCCTGCTGATGCTTAACATTCTAAGCCCAGCGTGCATTCTTTGGGATGATCCTCAATGTCTTTTCCAGGTGATGCTCTCCATGGTTTTTGCTTTCCTCCTTCTGTAGGGATGGACTGACCTCAGCAAGAGGAATGTGTCTGAAAGCCATAGGTATGACCTAAAGGTACCAGTATGTTTGATTTAATGACCTGGTGTCTAGATATTGTATTGAATTAGCAACAAGTAGCCATCAGGAAGAGAAGACACACCTTTCTCCTTACAGGTTTGGTAACATCTCTTTGGGGTGCCCCCAGTAATGCAGCACTCATATGGAAAATTGCTGGCACTGATAGCAAGTTTTCAAGCCTTAAGGGAGGCAGAAAAACAGAAAGGATTTTGTTGCCCCTTTGCTTAATTGGTGTGAGACAAGTGTAAATCAAATTTACAAGTGGCCTTGATGTTCCTATAATTTTGGTGTGTTGAGATAGCAAAGGAGCTTGACTTTAGAGTGGAGGGGGACAGGCTGTTTGAATTGGAAATTCATCCTTCTGGTCATGTTTTTGCTGTATTGTGTGGTTGTTGGTTGTTTTGTTTTTTTTTTTTTCTGAAATCTCCAGTTCCTGGATAATGCTATTGACTGAGAAGCTCAATTTTCCCTACAGGAGCTGTATCTTCATCACAGCCATTTCTTCTATCAAGGAGCTCCCATGGGACATCTCTCAGGAAAACAAGGTAAACTCACTGAAATTATTTCCCAAATGTAAGCTATTAGCATGAATTTCTCATCAAAAAACAATAATGGAGGATTTATCTTCTTTTTTGTTTTGATGGAAGTCAGGATGCATCGGAGAACCGGCAACACATCTCCACCAGATAATTAGATTGAAAGAAAACCACCCCTCTGAAGACAATGAGATGATAAAAGAGATCAAGGTCCCTGGGAAAACTTAATCCTCCGCTGTTTTCCATTACTTCTCAGGTTATTTCACTCTGCTATTAAGAAATTTGATGTGCTGATGAGTAGGAGAGAAAGCTTCCGGACTTGGAGGAAAAAAAAAATGTTGTGTTGTGTGAGGACAGTCTATTAAAGATTCAGCAATTGTACAAACCCCACAGGTAGAGAGTCCCCTGGGATTTCTGGTAGAACAAGGCTGATGAAAGCCTGGCACTGGAGGCATCCTGCAACCACCCTCAAAAACAGAAGATAGGAACTTCTCTTGTGTAACTGGTGATAGGACTAGAGGGAATGGTTTCAAGCTGCGCCAGGGAAGATTCAGGCTGGATATTAGGAAATACTACTTCTCTGAAAGGGTGGTCAGGCACTGGAATGGGCTGCACAGGGAGGTGGTGGAGTCACCGACCCTGGAGGTGTTCAAGGAACGTTTGGATGTTGTGTTGAGGGATATGGTTTAGCGAGAACCATTGGTGATAGGTGGATGGTTGGACTGGATGATCTTATAGGTCTTTTCCAACCTTAGTGATTCTGTGATTCTGTGATTCTGTGAATACAGACCTGCCTCTCCACCCAAACCCAACGCTGGTATGTGTCTCATTGACCACCAGGAGACACGGAGATCTCTCCCCAAAACCTTGGGAAATAACTACTAAAGTGAGATTTTTTTTCCACGTGTTGTCATAGAATCACAGAATCTTTAGGATCAGAAAAGACCTCCAAGATCATCCAGTCCAACCCTCCACCTACCACCACCATTGCCCACTAAACCACATCTCTAAGCACACCGTTGAGACGTGTCTTGGGCAGCTCCAGAGATCTCAAGCCCAGACACCTCTTCAGGGCTCCGTACCCACAGCTGTCACCTCCACATTTATAGGAGGAAGGGACAAGGCATTCACAAACCAGCACAAATCCACCCAGCTCAGTGAAACCGCAGCAATTTACTGCAGCTGACAGGAGCGTGTATCAACGTTGTCACCATCACCCGGGGTCATTCGCACTGCAGCGTGGCTTTCTCTCTCTCTTTCATGTCGAGATTTGCTCTTAGGCTTTTCCTTTGCAGGGAGTTTGATGGATGAAAACCCAGTGCGTGAGTTTGATGCGAGGGGAGGTGTTTGGAGACTGCTTTCGTCTCTGGCTGCATCAATAATTAATATGTTGATCCAGAGCAATATTATAAACAGGGTAAATGTTTTTTTCCTCCTTTTCTATTTGGTAAACAGCAAAAGAAAAATAACTGCTGGTGTCACTGCTCAGTGAGCTTCCCAGTGTCCCAGCCATCCACCCGACTATTTCCAGTACGGAACTGGGGAAGTGGGAAATCAGGATCACAAGGACTCAGAAACTCAAATCTGGGGAACAGAGGATTCAGGGCTGATAAATTTGAAATGTTTTAACATTAGGAAAGGTCTGATTCCTACCTGAGCTATTGCATATTAACATTTTCCCTAATGATGGACTAATAAGTCCCCCCTTCCCCCCCCCAGTCTTCCTGGTTTCAGCTTTTCCAGACAGGGCATTCCTGCAAGATTAAAGCTTTGACATTTCAAAGCTTTTCTTTTATTATTATTTTCTTTTATTGGGAAGATCACATCTCCCAGATATAATGGCCATTTGTGTTTTGTGGGTAGCTAGAAGGCCACTGTATGGGGACAGAAGCGTGGACACGAATCTCACTACAAGCAACAGTTCCTCAGCATCATCCCATTGACAGTTTTCATTTTTTGTTCATTTTTCAGTCTCAGTTCCTCTAACACCACTATTTGGATTTAGAAATCACATCCCATCTCAATGTGTCCATTAGAGTTGGGGAGGTCTTGGGAAGACAGGCTGAAGCATCACTGGCAGAGAGTTTTCAGCAGCTAAATTTCCAAACTTTTTATCTTCAGAGCAAGTGAAGGGCAATTTTCCAGAGGCATTTAGCACCTGACTTGCTCACTGCTGACCTAAAACATTTTGGCTTCAATGCTGAAACAGTTTCTAAGGTCGTTTCATCAGCGGGCTCCAGTTTATTCTCAAGAACGCCACTGCTGACATGATTCACCTGAGACCAATTATACCCACGGTCTTTGAACTTCTTCAACATGCAGATAGGACTTTCTTCTTCCTCCTCATCTGCAGACTTGACTCTGCCTTTCGTGCTGGTCCTTGAGGTTCCATGGTCCAAATTAAAATATCATCTGCCGTAACTTCAGCACCTCCTAATCCCTCAAATATCTGCTAAATTACTCTTTGAAATACCTTGGGAGCAGAACTAATTCCAGATGGCATTAGCTTACATTTGCAATGTCCAACTGGTGTATTAAAAATCACCAGCTTTGAGCCCCATTCATTTAATTTTACCGACTTTAATAGATATCCTGCCTTCCTGCTGAGAGTATTTCTGCTTCTGAGAACATTGCTAACTCTTCATTAAGGGTTTCCAGCAGATAATGTCTCTGTTTGAAAGGTTTTATTTAAACCATATAGATCAATCTGCATCTGTGATTTATCTGGCTTTTTGATTCATACCCTAGTTAATCCACTAGGTTTAGCCTGGTTTGCTGGTTGGTGGAGTCCAGAGGGATGACACGCAACAGCAGGATGAGTGGTTTGGTGCTGATGCAGAAGGCAACCCCAGGACAAGCTGGGGAAGCTTATTCCAAGCCCATGGTTTTGTCTCATTCCCTCTCTGCCAGCAGGAGCAGGAGGAGCAGTTTTGTCAGATTGTGGACAAGTGGTTTTTCGCCATTTCCAATTGATTTTGCAGTGACAAGGACTGCAAACATACATGTAAAGCCTAAGAATCATAAAATAGAATCATTGAATCATTTAAGGTTGGGAAAGACTATTAGGATCAGCTAGTCCAACTGTTGACCAACTCTACCATGCCCATTAGCATGTCCCTCAGTGCCACATCTACATGGTTCTTGAACAGCCCCAGGGATGGTGACTGCAGCTGGGCAGCCTGTGCCACTGCCACTCTTTTGGAGAAGAAATTTTCCCAAATATCCAGCCTAATACCCTAATGTCTTGTAATGGATGACCTCCAGGACATAAGAGCAATCTGTGGAGCAATCGTTTGTCTCCGGCCCAAAATTCCCCCAAAGGGACACCTTTCTCCAAACTTCCTTCGGGGTTTGAGACACACAAGTCTGACAAGTCAGATGCAAGGTGGATCTGAACCGTGTCTCCTGTGATGGTGTGGGACTGAGAACCTTCACTCCATCTCCAGCCATTGCTGGGCACATCTTGGGGTACGGATGGACCTGCTCAGTGCCGGGGGAGTGCCCTGATTTTGGGGAATAGGATTTGGTGTCCTTGAGCCAAAATGTGAATATTGAAGCTTGTACACGCTTGTCCCTATGATAAATTAAAAGGATTCACTGCTTTGTTGTTTTTTTTTTTTTTTGAGGAGGAGGTCTTGGGAAGACAGGCTGAAGCATCACTGGCAGAGAGTTTTCAGCAGCTAAATTTCCAAACTTTTTATCTTCAGAGCAAGTGAAGGGCAATTTTCCAGAGGCATTTAGCACCCGACTTGCTCACTGCTGACCTAAAACATTTTGGTACATATGGTACCTAACAGGTATTCACTCAGGTTTGTACCCAGCACAAAGAAGCCAAAATGAGGTAACAGAAGGGGAAAAGATACATGTGTGTGTATATATCAATATCTATATATATATAATGTTTTTTTTTAAAGGAGTGAAAACTGGAGAAAAAATAAAGAAAAACCCTTGAGAGTCGCTTGCCTGGTGTCTGTGAAAGAGGAGCTGAGCTGCCATGAGAAGGGTAGGGGACACAGCCGGAGCTGGGGGGTGACAATGTGCAGTGCTGTCACTGCTGGAGCTGCAATCCTGGGCTGGAGGAGGCAGGGATGCTGGGCAGTGCTGGGTTGGAGGCCAAATGGCACCTGATGCCCACAGTGCCACTGCAGCCCACCAGATGATGATGCTTGGTGTTTACAGGCTGCTAGAACTGCACAGGGCAGCCTGACTTTAATCCCATTCCTTCACCATCACATCCTCACCCTGCCCACGGACACCATGTCCAGGGCAGCTTCATTATTTGCCTTTGTGCTCAGCCAGAGCTCTCTGCTTCCCCTGTGGCAGGATATTAACTGGGTTTAATTTCAAGGAACAAATCCCCTCTGTCCTCTGGGTTCCACTCTCATAGTCGGGCCAGCTCATTTCCAGGCTGGCTTCCAGCAGGAAGGGTTGGAGGCCACACGGCAGCTGCTCAGATGATGGGGCTGGAGCTGCCAGCAATTTACTGCTGTGACCAAAATGATCTTTAATAAACGCATGGGAGATTTCTCAGGTTTTTTATTTCCTCCTTTTTCCTTGGACTCTGGGCAAACTGCAGCAATGATGGAAAGGTGGGAACCGAGGGATGGGAATCAAGGGTGGTTGGAGGAGAGCTGTGCCACGTCTCTGTGGGAAGGATGGATGAGGTTGGGTGGCTTTGGGGACAGGGAGCTCTTGCAGATGCACGGTTTCTCCTGCATCCTCTTGCAGACTTAATTCAAGATACACAGGAGACCATAGAATCATAG